CTGTGTATATTTACTCATTTAACGTGTGAGGTAGTGCTGTCATTCCCATTTTACAGGTGAGGAAACTGAGGCCCAGAGAAGTCTCTTGCCTGAGGTCACTCTGGAGTGGACCTGTGGGAGCAGGGAGGTGGCCCTGGGCATCTGTTTAGATGAGTGCTGATGTGTGTGGCACAGGTGGCAGGGAGTAGATGGTGGATGAATGGGGGTGGTGGTTGGAGCCAGCCAACCTCAAGTTCAGAGCCTGTCTCCATGCCAACCACCCTCTGACCTGTTCTACTCCTGCCTTCCTCGCAACTCACATGCCAGCCTACAGCTCCCATAAACCCCAACCTTAGCCGGCTGCTGTCAGAAGCAGCCTGTCCACCCCTGACCATCAGCTCCAAGAACTGCCCCTAACACCCCAGCTATCCCAGGGCACCCAGCTCCCGGCCAGCTGCCACCGACTCAGTCTCCTGAGCCTGGACCACTCCAGCCAGTCCCACTCTGGAGGTTTGAAGTTCCTTTTGTCCCCCCTCCCCTGCAACTGATAACCAAGGCCCGATAGCTGTGCCCCTAGCAACCACCAATCCCAGCCCACTGCACCAACCTTTGGTCTCCAATCCCCAAGTTCCCTACCACTCTCCTACCTTCCCCATCACTCCAATTTCCCAACGTCTAAAGCCCCCTCCCTTCTTGGGGGAAAGCTGCTGTGGCACCACAATGTAATGGTTACAAGCATGGCCTCTGGAATCAGAGTGGGTTTGAATTCTCAGTCTGCAATTTCGCAGCTGTGTGACCTCTGTGGGCCTCAGTTTACTCATCTGTCAGACGGAAACCCTACCTCATAAGGTCCTTTCCAGAATTTAGTAAGATCGTGCCATATGGTTATTTATCATAGTGCTTGGCACAGAGTTAGCGCCCAGGAGATGTTAAGAACTTGCTGGAAATCAGGAAAGCCACCTGTATTTATGATCACGTTTAACTGCAGTCACAGCAAAACCAAAAATAACAGGTGCTTCATTAGAACTTTAGTTCTTCTCTTACGTACACAGTCCAGAAGTAGGTAGGAGTTCCAAGGATGGTCTTGGGGCTGCATGATCATTGGAACCCAAGCTCCTGCTATTTTCTTTCTTTTCTTTCCTGTAACATACACTTAAGTCACCAGCTCCTACAATTTTCAATTCTTTGTTTCCATCTCATGGTCCAAGGTGGCTGTTGTAGCTCCAGTCATCATGCCCACATTCCAGTTAACAGAACTTAGTCACATGACCACATCAAGCTGCAAGGAAGGCTAGGAGAGTCCCAGTAGCCCTGTGTCTCTTTCTAAGACAAGTGTAATCAGCTTTTGCTGATGAGATTTGTCTCATCAGAAGGAGTAAAAGAGATTCTCTCATGACATTTATTTTACCTTCCAATTTGGGAACTGGTGACTTTGCAACTTGGATCTCCCATGGTGTGGAGTTTACTTTTTTTTTTTTTTTAATTGGGCAACACTTCATTCCATAAAACAGAATGAGTATTCCTGAAATTGCATTTTTTTGGGTTTTTTCTATATTTTAGGGGGCTTGGAGCCTCCTTTCCTTTCTCATCCTTCAGGAAAACTGTCAACAGACCTGCAGGAGCATGGTTTCAACCTTGGTTCCACAACTCCACAGCTGTGTGTGACTTCCAGTTACTTCCCCTCAGTGCCTGTATGCTTATTTATGGAGAATGGTGATAGGCCCTCAACACTGGGATTAAAGGAGGTCGCCCGGATAACGCATTTAGCATGGGGCTGGGCATTCAAGTTGGGGCCCGGCCAGAAGTTGGCCCTAAAGTGCACCGCACTCCTCTCTTCACGTCTCTCTTCTCATCCCGGTAGGCCCATACCTCCCGCCCTCAGCCCTGCTGCCGGACACAGACTTCTTCCCCGGTACCGTGTCACTGCCTGGCCTGGAGCCCCCCGGCGGGCCTGACCTCCTGGACGACGGCTTTGCCTACGACCCCACGGCCCCCACGCTCTTCACCATGCTGGACCTGCTGCCCCCGGCGCCGCCACTTGCCAGCGCTGTTGCAGGCAGCGGGGGTGCAGAGGCCGCGGTCGGGGAGCCCCCTTGCCCTGAGCCGCTGACGCTGGACTCGTACCGGGCCCCGGGCCCCGGGGACGGAGGCACCGCCAGCCTCGTGGGCAGCAACATGTTCCCCAACCAGTACCGCGAGGCTGCCTTTGGGGGCGGCCTCCTGTCCCCGGGACCTGAAGCCACGTAGCCCCGCGGCGCCGGAGGAGAGGCGCTGGGTGGGGAGGGCGATGATGGGGCTGTGTGAACCCAACCAGGATGTCCAGCACCCCCATCCCCTTGGGCCGCCCTTTGGTTAGTCTTCCGACCTCCTCGTGCTTCTCAATCGGACATCTTCAGCGCTGGCGAGAAGCTCCGTAGCAGGGGTTTCTCCTTGAGCCCATATTACCAATGAGAAAACTGAGTCCGGAGAGGAAAAGGGGCGTGGCTCCCGTGCGCTCGCTTGTTCAAAGCTGCCTCAGCCCCGACTTGGGGGGCACCTTCTCCAGCCGGATTCTGAAAGATTGTACATATGGGAGGAGGGGGCAGATCCCCGGCCTTCCTTTCCCAGACTTGAAGATGGGGGGGTGGGTGGTTTGTTCAGACTCTTCCCAATAAAGACGAGTTTTTCAGCCCTGGGGTTCTCGTCTCTTCTCCGCGTGGCAAACAGCCGGGTCCCCTACAAAGCAAGGACTCCAAGCTCCCCTCCGCTCAGCTGCCTCTAGGCCCCGCCCCCGGCTCCAGGTCCCGCCCCCCGCGTCGACGGAAGTGCGCTGCAGGGTGCTGCACCGTACTCCACCTCTTCCCCTTGGCGCGGCCTCCCATTTCCGCTTCCGGTGCGGGCGCGCGCGGGCGCAGCGGTGGGAGGTGGCGATCTGCCGGTGAGTGCAAGCGGCGGGCCCCGACCTCCTGCTTTTCGGGCGGGCATGAGCCCAGCTTCACCCTTGCCTCAGGCTTTCCCCATGCTGCTGTGGGCCTCTGCTGGGCCCTGGTCCCGAGGACCGCCCGTCCCCGCCTGCCGGGTTTCAGGCCGCGCCCCTGTCCCCGCAGTGGGCCCGAACTCGCCGCGTCGGACTCGTCCTGGGCGCAGCAGGCCCCGCCCCCTTGTCAAAAAAGCAGCCCAACTCTTTGGCCGCGACCCGGTCCACAGCCCTGTCCAAACCCTCTGTCTCCGCCCCTGTCCGCAAGCCCTGCCCTCAAACTCAGCCCACCCCATCCCGTCAGCCAGCTCCGCCTCCCTCAGGCTCTACTTTTTTAACCTGCATATTGTCTCCCCAGTCTCCCATTCAGATCCCTTCTTTAGACCTCAGCTTCACTCTGCTCTCTCCTTACAGCATCCCCCCATGTCCCCCCTCCTCCCTCAAGCGTCATCATGTTCCATCCATGCCTTTTACCTGCCCTCGACCCCCTCCTCCGTACCACTGCTCTGTTCCCATAACGTCTTTCTCAAATTTCCTCCCCCTGCCTTCATCCTTATCCCTCTGCAGCCCCTGCTCATGCCCACCCCCGCGATGGCCCCTGGTGGGAGCCTTTTTAGCTCTTCCCCTTCCCTCGAGTTCCAGCCCTAGCTGCTCAGGGTTTTTCTTGTGACCTTACTTCACGCACTGTCTGCTTTTGTTCCAAAACTTTCATCCCTGACTTCAGCGTGTGGAATCTAGGACACTCCTTTCCCAGGGATGCTCACCCCAGAAGCACCTAAGAGGTTTTCAGAATGCCTGAGCTGCTAGATCAGAGTTGTCAGGGACGCACTTGAGCATCTGGCACAGAGTTCTGCAGCCGCACCTCCATTCCCTGAAGCTGAGAGATGCGCTGTTTAGGATCAGCTCTATCACCAGCCTGTTAGATGACTTTGATTCTGCCCATATGGTTTTTACAGCCCACGTGACACTCCTGGTCCCTTCATCCCTCAGGTTGAGGCCCCAGGCTTGGCCTCACCACGATGTGGCACGAGGCTCGGAAGCATGAGCGGAAGCTTCGAGGCATGATGGTGGACTACAAGAAGAGGGCGGAGCGGAGGCGGGAGTACTATGAAAAGATCGTGAGTACCTGGCTTACTGGCTTTACTGCTAGGGTTAGGAGATCCTCCAGAGGGTGAGGCCTTGGCCATCCTTGTAAAATTTGGGCTTGGAAGTATGCCAAGATGAGAGCCCCATTTTCTCAGCAGTATATTATTTAATCGTTTCTTGAGCATAATCATCGGTAAGAATTTGAGGGGTTCTGTTTGTTACAGCATACCGTGTTGTTTGGTGTGGCCTCGGAGTGCAGATGTGGTGTTAGCAAGAAGCAGGGAAGTCTCAGTAATACTCAGAGCAGTCCACTCATAGGACTGGCCACCTCCAGACCATTATCTCTGTCACTTATTGCTATGTTCCCTGTGCCCAGAAGAGCTCAGCCACTCTTGAGGTTTGGCTTGGCACCCAATAGGAGTGCCATCAATATTCATTAAGTGAAACCTGATCACTTCCCTCTCCTGTTTGATGTTTCAGTTGCTTTTGGAGAGAAGACCAAACTCCATCCCTGGCCTAGAAGGCCCTTGTGGTCTGGCCTCTCAGCTTCATCCGGGGACAACTTCTCTGGCCTTTTTTCTATTTCTGCCACCACAGGGCTTTGGCCAGTAATGCTTCCCCTCACCCATTTAACTCCTACTTGTCCTTGGGATCCCAGCTTGAAATGGCACTTGTTTGTAAGATTCATTTCTCCTCTTAGATGACATTTGTATGGACATTCCCATGAGGCTGTATCACTGCCACAGCCTCCTCGCTGGTCTCCTGTTTCTAGTTCTGTTCCCTCCAATCTTTCCTTCTCAGAGGGGCCAGCGAGGTCTTTCTAAGGAACAAAGCTGACCGTTGCTCAGAGCTCCTAGATGGCTCCTTAGTGCCCTTGAGAAAAAGCCCCGACTCCTCATTACAGCGTTCAAGGTCCTCCACGGTCTGGCTTTTGCCCCTCCTCTGGACTCATGCCACTCCACTCCCTGCCTCTTTCCTGTGCACAAGTCATTCTGGCCTCCTTGTATTCCTCTATTGAAGGAAGCACCCTCTGGTCACAGAACTTTGGTGTGACTTCTTCCCATCCTGGTTAACTGCTGCTCATCTGCCAGACCTCAGTCCTCAGGGAGGTCTTGTCTTGTCTCTTTGACTTAACTCAGGTGTCCTTTGTAAATGCCATCATTGTTCCCTGTTCTTCCCTTTTGTGGAATTTAACACACTTGAGATACATACACGCATATCCCTATATATTTTGAGCACCCCAATCTGAAAATCTGAAATACTTCAAAATCTGAAACTTTTTGCATTCCGACGTGATGCCCTGCCACAAGTGGAGAATTCCACACATAAGTACTTAACACAAACTTTGTTTCGTGCACAAAATTATTAAGGATATTATATGAGGCCGGGCGCGGTGGCTCACGCCTGTAATCCTAGCACGCTGGGAGGCCGAGGCCGGAGGATCGTTTGAGCTCAGGAGTTCGAGACCAGCGAGACCCCGTCTCTACTAAAAAAATAGAAAGAAATTAGCTGGACAACTAAAAATATATATAGCAAAAATTAGCCGGGCATGGTGGCACATGCCTATAGTTCCAGCTACTCAGGAGGCTGGGGCAGAAGGATTGCTTAAGCCCAGGAGTTTGAGGCTACTGTGAGCTAGGCTGATGCGAGCTAGGCTGATGCCATGGCACTCTAGCCCGGGCAACAGAGTGAGACTCTGTCTCAAAAAAAAAATAAATAAATAAAGAATATTATATGAAATTACCTTCAGGCTGCACATATGAGGTGTATATGAAACATAAATAAATTTCATGTTTAGACTTGGGTCCCATCCCCAGGATATCTCATTATGTATATGCAAGTATTCCAAAATCTGAAAAAAATCTGAAATCCAAAATACTTCTATCCCAAGCATTTTGGATAAGAGATACTCGACGTGTGTGTTGTGTATGTATGTATGATGTGTTTATCACAAATACATATACACACGTATACTCAGCTATGTGAGATTGAGGTTAGGTATATTTGGATCACATATCCCAGGATAGTGCCTATCAAATATGGATGAAAGAAATAGATGAATAAAACAATATTAACAATAGCGGTTGTCAAATAACCGATCCTTTTCAGGCACCAGGCCATGTGAGTGGGCTTTAGATGCATAGATTTTTTTCAATCCCCACAGTCACCCGTGAGACAGGGACTGCTGTCACCACCACACTTCAGAGAAGAGGAAGCTCTAAGAGCTCCTCACCTGCCTCTGCCGCCAAGGAAGGAATCACTGGGCTACAGAGAGAGCCCATCTATGGTGATGTCGGAATAACTATAACATAGACGACCAGGGCAAGGCCTGGGTCTGTGTTGGTCATAGTTGAGGCCCCAGCAGTGGGCCAGGAACATAGTGAGCACCCAGGGATGAATAGCTACCGTTTATTAAGGGACCATGGCCCAAGGTGCCAGACCCAGTGCTTGCCACTTTGGTACACTCTAGTCCTTTCAACAGGCCTGAGAGGTGGGTATTGACGATCCCTGTGTTAAAGGTGATGCTACAGTAACAGCTAATGCTGTTGAGCACTTCTATGTTAGCCACTGTGCTAAGTCCTTGGCACGTGTCTGCATGTCATCAAAGCCTTAGCCCAGGCTAGAAGGTGGTTCTTATCTCCATTTTACGGAGGAGCAAACTGGGGCTTTGAGAGGCACAGCCTGTGGTCACACAGCAAGAGGGCAGAGCTGGCATTGTAAAGACTCTGTGACCCTTAACCTCTCTGAGCTTCTCGCCTGGACCCCGTGCTGCAGAACTGGAGGTTCCGAAAGGTGAACTTGTCCAAGGTGACACAGCCAGGAGGCAAAATACCATCATGGCTAGATCCTTAGAGTCTGGAGTCATAGGGCTCTGGGTTCAAATTCTAGCTACTCCACTTACCTACTATGTGACCTTGGGAAAGCGACTGTCTCCCTGAGCCTAGTTTCCTCTTCTGCATGTGGAGTGATGTATTCTGTACAATCAGGTTTGGCTGTGAGTAACAGAGACCTAAAATATCAGTGGCTCAAACAAGACAGAAGTGTTATTTCCTAGTCACAGAAAAGCCCAGAGGTAGTCACTTCTGTGCAGGGACCTAAGCTACTTCTGTTTCGTTGTTCTCTTGCACACAGCTTGTCTTCCCAGTGTCGTCTGCAGGTCGGAGAGGGCTGCTCAGACTCTAGCCATCACGGCTTCGTTCCATCCAGCAGGGAGGAAGGAGGAGGAAAAGGGGCAAAGGTGCTTGCAGCAGTTGTTAAGAAAGCTTCTAGATGTTTTCCCATAACACTTGTGTCATATCTGCTGACCGGAAAGCTGTCCCTTGATCAGGTACAGCTGCAAGGAAGGCTAAGAGGTGTAGACTTTATTCTGGGTGGCTGCGACCAGCTAACTCAGGGGTTCTGTCACTGCTGAAGAAAAGGGAATGGATGGTGGTCGCCAGTTCATGGTTTTCCACAGGTGGAGGACGGAAACAGCTCCCTCCCGGGGCTGTGGAGTAGGGACACACAGAGCACTGAGCGAGTGTAGGCCTGGCCAGGGTGACGGTTACTCAGTAAGTGTTTGCTCTTGTTCTTACTGATGTTACTGTTCCTGGGTAGAGCTGGAATTTGGATCCAGGTCCGTGAATGAT